GTATTAAGAGGTAATTTATGAACCACTGTTTCTCTGTGCATAAAGCCCAAAAACAATAGGTAGAGGTCTTAGTTCCTTTTAATGTGAGGGGAGAGGTAAATTTTTTTTGATAAAGTTGGTGTTAATGATTCGATACTTTATCATAAACCTTAATTATGATATTGTTATTACCAAAAGATCAGAATGGCTTGCCTGCAATATGGTAGGAATACTCTCGGCAACAGCTGAAGAATGTGAAAACCTCAGCAGCTATCTTCCACAAGTGCGAAGGTGGAGAAGTACATTTACACCATCCACTATTTTACATCGCCCAAGGTGTTCGATACAGAAAACTACATGTCACTGTCACTACTGTAAGTATATTTTTTACTAATTCATTCATCCAATTGTAAATTTGCGCTGAGATTACTACAATTTGCACAGACAATGTCGTACCAATGGCCTCCAGATTCTCGACATCACGTCCTTTACTATTTGATTGATTCATTTTGAACTGAACCTTTTGGAATTGCGACTTGATTCTTGTTCAATATTGCGTTTCGATAAGCAGAGCATATACTTGGAAAAGCTGAGCAAACTGTGAGGCATCAGCGAAAGGTTTTCTTCCTTCCATTTGTACTGTTAGTGTAATGCTCTGAATATAATTACGTAATTGCGAGAAATTTGATGCGTTGGTTGTTTTATTCTCCTGTCCTGAATAAAATTTGAGTGTATGAGATGTTAATGTACCTTGGAGACGATTTTGGTATACCCTTTAATGAGCACACAAATATTTTTGCCTGAATCTAGTAGCCTTGAACTTGCTCCTGTTTATGTGCATCATTTCTTTTAGTACAATTGCAATGCAGGTAAAGCTGCTCCGCCTATGTCATACTTATTACTATAACATTAGCCAGTGTTGTCAAAGGTGTGGTTAAGTCCTGCAACGAGGCTCTACACGTATTGACAGTTCAGTATCATTATCAAGGCTCTAAGACATACTTTTCCTTGCTAATGAGGCGACACTAAACAATTGATATTTCACTTTATCATATTTATTTTTTCAATTTATATGTCCATTTATTTTTTATGCATGCTTATGATTATAAGTCTTAGACTATACATATATAATTGTATTTTTTCAGTGAAGGGCACGCTTTATTTGCTTTGCACTTGAGCCCAACGGCTAGAGCTTTTTTTGCACTTTTCACTTTTGATGACACTGATATTAGCATAACAATACAAGTTTTTCATCTGCAAACAGATTAAAAATACGTCAATTCATACCCTGTAGGAATTTGAATGACATTAATTTTCCCACATTCTTTATACGTATTGAGAAGGAGAATTTTCTGCAACACGTGCACATTGAGTCTTTTAAAATACAATTGGGACAAGTATTTCGGCTGCTCGTTACTTATCTAGAGGAAAAAGTAGGCTTAACTTATGATTTATATTTTATGCCCCTGCTTGATTGCGGATGCACATTTTTTCAGCTTCATCTTCAGTTGGTGTTCCTTAACCTTTTGAAGACCTTCTGTAGATTTTAGATGTGGTCGATTCTTTCTTTTGAAAAGACTAACAAATCATGCATATAAGGCTCACATATGTAGTGTAGAGGTCACAGGTAATTCGTGTTATCGTGCTTTGATGAGTTGCACTTTTTATTTTCGGGCATTCCATAGTCAGGAAAGGAAGTGGATTCTTTTCTTTCTTCCTCTGCATATTATTTCATTCTTATTTCACATAATAAACAAATATCTTAGTGTACCTATATTTAAAAAGGCAGAGTAATTTGGGACAAATATGTTAGTATGTGGTATACCCTGACATGTTTACGTTCAACAATGCATTCTATTCATTTGGCCCTTTAGCCTTCACATTGGAAGTGGCACGCGCCATTTGTGAATAAAGTAAAATGACGTTAGTTTTCTCCGTGATTTCTTTTTATATACTGATCACATTTCTTCAAATATGCTGCCTCTCTGCCAGATTTATCAATGTGAAGAAGTTGAAGAGGTTAAAATAGTTCCAGCTCCCAAGAAAGATGAGATGTTGGTCAGTACCTAAAGCTCTTTGGAATTTTGAAACAGTCTCCAGTAATGATTATCAGTAGTCTTATATCATGTCTCGCGTTCATTCATCATGGATTTGTTACTATATGTGATATCCCTGCTATTTTTTCTGAAAGAGAATATAGAAGAGGAAAGTAACGCTATCTGATCATCTTTTAGCTCACACAAACTGTTGATATTGGCAACCTAACATAACTGGTATACAGTTATTGTAAGAGTGACAGGATCTTGTTATATTGATAGCTTTTTCAAGATTCAAGAGTTATCCCTTGGTTCTTTTTAACTGTCTCAGATACCTTTGGTAATTGAGCTGTCATAGTTATTCACTTCTATATCTTTTATCTGAACTGCAAGTTTCTTCAGGTGCTAAGTAAGCATACGAAGAACCGTTGGCGAAAGTTGACAGTGGTAGGATCACTTCCAGTGACGAACCTATTGGAAATGATGTAACCGTGGCCGAGGTAATACTTTGTTCCTGACTAGTTGTCTTTATACTCTTTTTACATTTCTAATGATAACCTTTGCTACAAAAGTGGTGCACTCGTGGAAAAGAAAAATTTACAAAAGTTCATATGTGCAAGTCTTGCTTTCCTTTAGTGGCAGCTACAATGCAACTTCATTTTTTAATAATGGGCGGCACATCACCCATCGAGCTTTGAACTGTGCACCAGTGGTCCTCGGGGATTTCTTGTAAGTAGCTTCGTGGACAAGCTAGTTTATTTTCTCATTGCTTTTCAAACTCAGGTTGACAAGGATTTTAAATTCAGTAGTACACTAAGAACTTTATTGATCTTTAACTGGAGTCCGGAGTATGCCACTTTCACCTGGTTGAAAGGGGATAACCAAGTAATAGCGTCAAGGATTGACATGATTCTGATCTCTGAAGAGTGGATCACACTCCACTAGCATTGCAAGGTGGTTCTTGGAACCTGAACAAAAATTATTTCATGTTTGAAAATTGGTGACAAGGTCTTGAAGGATTCACTGATAGAATTAGAGAACGGTGGAATTCTTTCAACTTCACCAGAAGAACTCAATTTAATATGGCTTATAAGTTAAAAGCTTTAATAACTAAGCTTAAGGAATAGAGTAGCAGTGAACATGGAGATTTGGGCTCTCAAATGAAGAAACTGTTAGGAAAGATAACACAACTTTAAGAATTGTAACAAAAGAGGAGACAGTTTAGGAGGGTAGCAGTTACCATGGAATATGAATAATTGATTAAAAATGATGAAATATCTTGGAGGAAAAAATTCAAGGTCTTTGGTTAGGAGATGAAATATTAAGTTCTTCCTAGGGGTAGGCATAAATACCGAAAAATCAAAAAATTGAACCAAAGGTAATCTGATTTTTGTTTCAGTATCTATAGTGTCCCACAACTTCTAAGCAAAGATTCAAACCATCCTCTGTATGTGCATAGGTTCGAACCAATGATTTATATGTTGTACATGCATGTTAAGGTCCTTTACTAAGTGTAGTAAGTGTGTTGTATGAGTCTTAGGGTTGTAGGGAACCTCAAAAACCAAGTGAAGTTCAAAGCATTTTCTATTGGCTAAATTCTTTGCATGAGCTCTTATGAGGGTCAACTTCAAACAAACATATTCTTAGAATATGAGGAGTTAGGTGACCCTTGACCTATCAAATAAAAGGTCTACGAGTCTTCTTTCCAACACATCCAACCATTTGTCAATCCGGCTTTTGGGTAAAACGATATTTGCATTTTACTAAAGAAACGTCAAATTGGTCGTGAGCTCCGTATTCCCTAGTAGCGTGGCCACACTGCGCTAGGCCATTTTTCCAATAGCCTCGGTATTATCAAATTGGTTGTGCTCTATGCGCGCTTGGTAGCATGGGTGCACAGCACCAGGCCATTTTCCTAGAAACAACGTTATTATTAAGTTGGTGGTGCACTCTGCGTGCCTGGTAGCATGGCGCACTGCGTCAAATCATTTTTCCAGAAGCCTCGGTATTAAGTTACCTTATTTATTAAGTTAAGTCGGTAGGTCACTAGAAAATTCATCTTGAACGATTTAGGTCTTATTTTCTCTCATCTCCATCTCCAACATCAAGGTATGTTCCTTCTATGTATCTAAAGTATTTCTAAAACAACCTCAATCTCTAATCATGAATTTACAACAAGATTCTAACATCAAATCTTTTCTTCCATATCTAGTGAAAACAAGAACTCAGCCTAAAATTCAAGAAGGGACTTTTCGGGTTCCACTTCAAAGTTAGAGTTTCAATTGATAAAGTGATTCAAAGTATGTAAGCCTTCAATGAGGAATTCCTTCCATCCTCCTCTCCATGGTTTCTCAATTTTCATGGACTTAATTTTATAGTTAGGTTTATCAAGCCACTTTCAAATTTATCGCATTTATGACCCGAATCACATGTTTTCTTGGATTATTTACTCATGATTATGGATCCTTGATTATTGTATTCCCGTTTTACTCAGTAAGGTTTTCCATTGTCATTCTTATGGGTTATTAACATGATATTGTCATGATTTTGTGAACCTTATATTTAGAAACAGATTTTAGAGTCTTTATGCTATTATGAAAATTACTTTTGAATATCTACGAGCTATACATGTTCTAGGAGACCTTTCTCATGATTTAAGTTATAAGCATGATTTTGAAAGATATATTTTAGAAAGTTTGAGTTTTGTCTCACCCTTTATTCAGACATACATATACTTATCAAGTTATGAGCATAACATATACGTCTATTATTTTGGGAGGAATATTTAGCATCGAGAGGACGCGGGTTTAGAGAATCCAAGTCCCATAACTACGTATCAACAGGTTGTATGCCGCTTTGACAGTCAACTCATTTAGCCCTTTGAGGTTCAGTTAGTGGATCCACATTAGATAAACAAGTTTTCTACTCTGCTAAGGTATAGGGAGAAGCCCACCCGACTAGGATCATAAGTTGGACATCGTCAACTCAAATGGTGTTTGTCGATTTTAAAAACTCCCAAGTAAAGCTATTATTAATTTTATGTACTTGTATCTGTTGAAATTCTACCCTCCTGAATTCTTCAAAGGTACACGTACAATCAAGGTGTTTCTGTTTAATTGAGACTTAACAATAAATAATCCAAGCAACACTTTGTATTATTTATAAGTGTTCAAACAATACAACGATTACACGACTACGTAACCTAAGGAATTATAAACTAATTCCTTTCTACCCCAAGACACAAAACTCCCTAGTTTTGTATCTTCTAAGCTCTTCATAAACTACAACTTGTCAAGCAACTCCCACTCACAAAACTCATATTGTAAACAAGACTCTTGAATACATTCTTACAATTATTCACTCAACTCACAGCACTCCCAAGTAATATCAAAACTCTTGATCGTGTTTTGACCTTCTCTCTTTGTAAATGCACAATTTTCTCAAGCGAAACTAATGCCCTATTTATAGATTTGGAACTTCAGCAAGTTCTTGTTTGATTCAACTTTGTCTTTGCCGCTACACAAACCTTGTTGAACTCAACTTGGACTCCTATTCAACATTACTTTTAAAAAGTAACCTTCTTTACTTAAACCTAGTCGAACCCAACTTCGATTAAGTAATAACTGCTACAAACGCGCTTTACTTAAACCTAGTCGAACCCAACTAGAAATAAGTAATAACTTCTACAAACGCGCTTTCTGATTTAAACTTGGATTCATCAAAAATGTGTTACTGTCTGCCTGCTCTACGCAACCTGTTTTATGCAACTTTGCCATAGTTCAAAACGTCTTTCACAATTTCCTTGTTTTTGGAAATAGCAAATATTTGTGCTGCTTGCATTGAATAGGTAAGTAAACAGTACCTTCTTCCCCCTTTTGACATTAGAAAAAAATCAATATATCGAATAGTTCCAATCCTATAAGGGAATAGTAGAAAAAAAACAAGTGCCAGACATTAGTTACACAATAAAACTAAGAACCAAAAAACAACATTATCCATCAAAAGCAAAGATGAAAACTACAAGCTTACATATTAAACACAAAAACTCAACACCATGCACATTGAGATTTAGACTTGATCAGAAGGAGGAAAAGGGCATGAAGAGGAGGAAACACCCTTTGAGAGTAAAACAAAGACATTCTTTAGATGCTCTGAATTGACATCCTTTCATATTCTAAAGCAATATGAGTCTGAGTCAATTCTTCCTTGACTTGACAATTCTGAGCACGCAACTTCACAAGTTCCTCCGCATGTGTACGACGAAGTTGATCCATTCTTCTGAGTGAGCCTTAATCAAGGTATTTATCTCCTGATCCTTTGCAGTCAGGGTTGATTTCAATCTTTGCACACACACATTAGTCCCTTTCTTATTCTCAGGTATAGTAGCAAGATCCATTTCTCCCAAGACATCACTGATAGACTGAATTTGCCACTCAGTAACGGGAACATTGAAATACTTAAACACCATACCTAACAAGAACCCATATGCCAATGCACGCTTTTTTTCATCAAGCACACACACGCCATGTATATGACTAAGAATTAAAGCATGCAAATTAATTTGGAGTTTTGATAGTAACAACTCCATAAGAGTAAGATCCAAGTAGTTTGCTTCTGTCCTCTTTTGCTTTCTAGGTATAATTATTTTATGCACTACATCAAACAATAGTTTGTGCAAAGTTAAAATAGCTCCCTTATCAATCGTGGTGTACTCAGTCAAAGTAGGATATTGGAAAATCGACGGCATATGTCAATGGTAGAGGTATTTCCTTCCAATGATGGCCAATCTATCTTAACATGGTGATCCCAACCCTTCTTTGGTACCCCAAGTATAGATGATAGATTCTCAGCAGTGAGGGTAAAGGACACACCACTAACTGTACTTGTTGCCTCCCCTATTGCATTAATGTAAAACTCCCTAGTTTCTTTTCTTCCCATTCTTCGCCTATGAGTACCTAGTAGGAACAGGTCAATCTCTCCTTGAACTTATAACAAAACCAGTAGTTCCCTCATGTCGTTACCCAACCCCAGAGATCACTCTTCCCTAATTACACTTCTTCCTCTAAAGGTTTCAACCCCATCAGAGTCTATTACTGTAGAGTCTTTGAGACCAGATTGACTTAAAGAGGTATTTTTTCTTTTCCTTTTCTTCTTACATTCCACAATGTCATCATCAATATGAATAGGGTTAAAAGGATAAACAGACTTACGCTTCATAGAACGAGTCTTCTTAGTGTATTTTGTCAAAAGTTCTGCATCCCTGATACGCTATACTGAATGATTTACTCGAACAGGTTTATTGATTGTTGATCTAGGGATTGGGTTTTCTTCCGGCATGATCATTGCAATGGTTTGGCGAGAGGTTACACTTCGTCGGGACCTAAGTCACTTTTGCAGAAACGTCGGATGGATTTAATGGCTTGTAGAAAGGTGATTTGATTTTGGCGGTTTTATTTTATCATTTCTGACACCAATTTTAATGAGGGAACAGGTAATGTGCATAGACAAAATTATTGCATTCATTTAGTAAGTGTAGAATACATATCTTCCTTTGTAGAACAGATTTCCTTGGAGACTTAATTCTTTGTGATTCTAAATTTTCTATTAATGGTAGAATAGTTAGTGACAAATCTGAATGGATGTTAATTAGACAATTTAATTCTTGGAACCCCGTCATATTTTATGATTCGAGATGCCCATGAAATTTTATCATTCCTAGTTCCAATCGGTTCCTTTCAAAATGGTCTCTTGCTAGTGTCTTAGTGAAGATATCCGCAATTTGTTGTTCAGTAGAGCAGAAGTTCATTGAAATTAATCCCTTTTCTACATTTTCCCTTGGAAAGCAATGATGTATGTCGATCTGTTTAGTTCTCTTATGTTGTACGGGATTTTTTTGCAATGTTAATTGCACTTGTGTTATCACAGAAAATAGGAACACATCCGATATTGAGAAAAAAATCACTCAGATGTTGCTTAATTCATAAAAGCTGAGCAGAACATGAGACTACTGCTATATATTTGGCCTTAACAGTGGACAATGCGACGGAGTTTTGTTTCTTTGTTCTCCGCGAGATTAAACATGATCCTAAGAAGTGAGCCATACCTGATGTGCTTTTTCTATCTGCTAGATAACTAGCATAGTTTGTATCAACATATCTTATTAATTCATTGTTACTCCCTTTTGGATATCATAGTCCTAAATCAGTGGTTCCTTTCAAATATCTGAGTATTCTTTTGACGGCTTGCAGATGAGATTCCTTAGGATTGGTTTGAAAATGTGCACACAACCCCACACTAAATACAATATGAGGCCTATTTGCAGTAAGATACAAAAGTGAACCAATTATACCTCTATACAGTTTTTGTTCTGCAGCAGAACATGTTCCTTCAAGGTCTAACGTAGTGGTTGTGGCTATTGGAGTATCAATTTGTTTCGCATCTTCCATCTTGAACTTTTTAAGTAAATCCTTGACATACTTTTGCTGATGAATAAACATACCTGCAGATGTTTGCTTTATTTGGAGCCCTAGGAAGTAGTTTAGTTCACCAATCATATTCATCTCAAACTCGTTGCTCATAATCTTAGCAAATTCGTTTGTGAGAGACTTGTGTGTTGCTCCAAAAATAATGTCGTCAACATAGACTTGCACAATCAAGAGATCATTTCCTTTATTTCTAAGAAAAAGTGTATTGTCAATTTACCTCTTGAATAGCCATGGCTTACAAGAAATTTTGACAATCTATCGTACCATGTCATTGGAGCTTGTTTTGACCCATAAAGAGCCTTGTCAAGTTTATAGTCATGATCAGGAAGGTCATTGTTCTCAAAGCCCGGAGGTTGTTTGACAAATACTTCTTCTTATAGTAGCCCATTAAGGAAGGCGTTTTTACATTCATTTGATACAATGTGAATTCCATGTGAGATGTGAATGCTATGAGTAATCTGATTGACTCTAACCTTGGCACAGGTGCAAAAGTTTCATCATAATCTATCCCCTCTTCTTGATTGTACCCTTAGACTTCCAGCGTAGCTTTATTTCTTGTTATAGTACCATGTTCATCTAACTTGTTCCTAAACATCCATTTAGTACCAATTATAGTTCTGTTTGGTGTCTTAGGTACTAGATGCCAAACCGTACTCCTTTCGAATTTATGTAATTCCTCTGCCATGGCTATAATCCAATCTGCATCTTGGAGAGCTTCACTTATCTTCTTTGGTTCCACCATGGATAAGAATGCATTATTGGCACAATGATTCCTTATTCCGAATCTGGTGGTTATTCCAGAAGACATAAGTAAGCAAATTGTCCAATGGGTGTGATCCTTGGTATTTGTACTCTTTTAGAACCAAATTTGATTTTTCCCTATCTTGGCCTTCATTCAAAACTAATTGGTTTTCTTCAGTTATCTCATTAGAAACCTCACCTGTTTCATGTGTTTCAGTATACTTTCTATTGCCAACCTGTTTCTTGTACCTAATCCTGTTCCGAGAATGAATGCTCCTTTGAAGGTTTTTCTGCACATCATTGTTAGATATGGTGTTGCTTTCATCAAATATAACATGCACACTCTCTTCTACACACATTGTTCTTTTATTAAGTACCCTATAAGCTTTATTATGTGTAGAGTATTCTAGAAATATTCTTTTGTCACTCCTAGCATCAAATTTACCTAGGAGATTTTTCCCATTATTGTGGATGAAGCACTTACACCCAAACACGCTTAGATGAGATATGTTGGGTTTTCTACCTTTAAGTAATTCATAAGGATTTTTATCTAACACAGGTCTGGGCATATATCTATTTATAGTATAACAAGCAGTATAGTTTCTGCCCATAACTGATTGGTTATTTTATTTGCAATCATCATGGTTCTAGCCATTTCCTGCAAAGTTGTGTTCTTTCTTTCAACCAAATCGTTTTGTTGAGGGGTTCTGGGGGCAGAAAAATTATGAGCAGCTCCATGGACATCACAATATTGACAAATATTGAGTTCTCAAATTGAGTTCCATGATCGGATTTGATTGTCATTAATTGTTTTTCAAATTTCTTTTGAAGTCTTCTTATTAATGAACAAAAAACCTCAAATGCATCATCTTTTGATGTGAGAAATAGAGTACAAGTGTATCTAGTATAATCATCAACTAATACGAACACATATCTTTTTCCTCCCCTACTTTGAACCCTCATTGGTCCACATAGATCAATGTGGATTAGGTCTAAGGATTGGGTTGAGCTTATCACCTGTTTCGGTTTCAAGGATGATCTTATTTGTTTCCCTAGAGTACAAGCTTCACACACCTTTCGTTCCTTGAATTTTGTTTTTAGGAAGTCCAATTACTAAGTCTGCTATGATGAGTTTATTCAATTGTACTTGACTAGCATGATCTAATTGTTTATGGCACGACAAGGAATCTTTATCTTACACACTTAAACATACTAGATTTTCATCAGAGGTAATTGAGGTGTCTACGGTGTAGACATGCTTGTCTCTTTTTCATGTTAAAATTACCTTTTGTGTGCTCAGATTAATTACTTCAACACCAGAGGATAAGAAGACTACCTTATTTCCTTTTGTCACATAATTGACATATACTAAGCAGATTATGTTTAAGTCCTTTCACATAGTATACCTTTTCAATTGAGTGTTCATAAAGTCTTCCAATCTTGTCAATGCCTCTGATTTTCCCCTTTGCCCACCACCAAAAGCTACGGTTCCACCTTTTTTTTCGTCCTATAAGAGCAATAATGTTTTGTCCCCAGTCATGTGTCTTGAGCAAGCACTATCTATCTACAACTGTTGCTTTCTTTCGCTCACTTCTTCCTAAAAAGAATAATTAAAGGTTAGATTTAGGAACTTAGATCAACTTGGGTCCTTTGTTTTGATCAAAAGGATAAATAATATCTCTATGAGCCCATTTGGGCAGATTGGTTTTCCTAGGTATATAAATGTTCCTTTGAACAACTTCATAAGTTCCTCTTGATTTATTTTCTGCAGTAGCTTTTTATTTGGGACAATATTGTTTAAAGTTACCAGATTTTCCACAAATAATACAAAACGCAGGATTTCCATTCATAGGTTGTTCATACTCTATTCAGGTTTTTATGTTTCGAGTATTGTTACCTAGATAGGTTACTATCATGGAAGATTTTGTCCATTAATTAGCTCTTTTTGCATATCGCCTTTTATCTTAGATAATTCCAGATTTATTCTCCTAGAGTTTTATTTTTCTAGTCGTAAGTCGTTTTTGAGTTTGTTCACATTTAGTTCATGCTTGGGTTGTTCACATACCTTTTCTAGATAAGTATTTCAGTTTTAAATTCTCTATTTTTAGTGCCAAATTGTGGATTTTAAATTGCTTGGTTATCCCTTGTAGTTCACAATTGAGTTTATCCAGATCAATATACTCAAATTTTAAACTAGTCATGGAAGTAAGCAATTGATTTTTAGTTTTAACTAGTTCTTGAATTCTGTCTATGGAAGCGAGTAATAGGAAGGATAATTTTTTCTTAGAGAATATTACTAGTTTATCTTTTAAATCAAAAAGATTTACCTCTATTTCTTCAGAGTCTGATTCAGGTTTAGGTTCTGATTCTTCTATGGCCATCAAAGTGATGTCCTCATCATCATCTTCATACATGTCCGAACATGTTCCCCAAGCTGCATACATTGCTTGTTCTTTTTCTTCTTTTTTTTCTTTTTGTTGAGAAGTTCCTTCTTCTCTTTTTCAACTATTTCCTTTTTCCATTCTAATTCCCACATAGGATAGTCTTTAATCTGATGATCTGTTTTACCACATTTCAAACAGCTTCCTCCTTGTGGTCTCTCAACATTTTTTTCTTTCGTGGGTGGTGATTTCTTACCAGAATTCAATCCCCTTTTGAAGAATTTATTGAAGTTTCTACTTATCAGTGACAAATCATCATCATCTACATTCAATTCATCATTTTCAGTTACTTTAAGTCCAAGATTTTTCTATTTGTTTCCTTCACTTCTTTTGTGAACATTCATCTCGCAGGTTTCGATATTTCTTACTAATTCATCCAAAGTCATTTTAGTTTGATCATTGGCTTCTCTTATTGCAGTGACTTTTATTTCCCATGACCTAGGCAGAGTCCTTATTACTTTGTCAACCTGTTCCTCAGTGGTGTATACTTTGCCAAATGATAATAATTCATTTACCACAGTGGTGAATCTGGTAATAATGTCTTGAAGTGATTCTCCGTATTTCATCTTGAAAGCTTCATATTCAGAGCAAATCTGGCAATTTTGAATTTACGAGCTTGAGTTATACCTTCATTAGCGTTTCGTAAAGTATCACATATTTGTTTGAAAAGGTTCAACTTGAGATTCGGTTAAATTCATTAGGTCCTAGTCCACATACGAGAATGCACGTAACTTTTGCATTTTTTCCTAACATCTTGTAGTCAGCTTCTTCGTATTTTTCTGTCGGTTTAGGTACCTTATTCCCTTCACTATGAGTAATAGTAGGAGTCAGTGGTCCTTTAGTGATTCTAACCCATAGCTCGTAGTCTTCAACTTGAATGAAGTCTTACATCCTTGTCTTCCACCATGAGTAGTATTGTCCATTGAATAATGGAGGTCTGTTGATGTGATGTCCTTGACCATATTCCAATGGAGGTGCAGAACTCATAATGATCGTCATCTTGAGTTATTAGACTCTTGATTAAGATAACATACTCTGATGTCATTTGTTGGAATTCTACCCTCCTAAATTCTTCAAAGGAACACGTACAATCAACGTGTTTATGTTTAATTGAGAATTAACAATAAATAACTCAAGCAACACTTTGTATTATTTATAAGCGTTCAAACAATACAACGATTACACAACTATGTAACCTAAGGAATTATAAACTCTAATTCCTTTCTACCCCAAGACACAAAACTTCCTAATTTTGTATCTTCTAACGCTCTTCAAGTTCTACAACTTGTCAAGAAACTTCTACTCACAAAACTCATATTGTCAAGACTCTTGAATACAATCTTATAATTATTCACTCAACTCACAGCACTCCCAAGTAATATCAAAACTCTTGATCGTGTTTTGTTCTTCTCTCTATGTAAGTGCATAATTTTCTCAAGCCAAACAAACGCCCTATTTATAAATTTGGAAATTCAGTAAGTCCTTATTTTGAACACAACTTGGACTCCTATTCAACAATACTTTTACAAAGTAACCTTATTTACTTAAACCTAGTTGAACCCAACTTGGATTAGATAATAACTTCTACAAACGTGCTTTACTTAAACCTAGTCGAACCTAACTTGAAATAAGTAATAACTTCTACAAACACGCTTTCTGATTTAAACTTGAATTTATCAAAAATATGTTAATGTCTGCCTGCTCTACGGAACTTGTCTTGCAACTTGTTCTACGCAACCTGTTCTATGCAACTTTGCCATAGTTCAAAACAACGTCTTTCACTGTATCGTCATTAAATTTTGTAAGATATGACACTCATACACAGGTTTTTGAGATGCCTTTCATTTATTTTATGTTGCTTTATGATTATGTTTTGTTACATCTTATAACTCAGTACATTTCAAGTATTGACCAAATACTTTTCTCTGTGTTGCATCCTCTATGATGTAGATTATGGCGTTCGTGGCTAGACAAGTTGATGTATTCCTGTCAGAAGCTGGTGAGTCTTTATCAGAGGACTTCATGGATTAGATAGTTGTTGGACTTATCATTAATTCTATTGTTTGTTTTTAAGGTAGTTCGAGGTCATGTCAGGACATACTTATTTCTTTAATTTTAGATCATGAACGATTTATTCAGACATTAGTTCATGGAATTTTACTAGTTTCCTCAGGCTTATATTCAAAACATTCAGTTAACTAAGTTTGAACTTCTACTCATAAAATGTCAATTAGTTCATTAGTAGCATGCCAATACCAAGCGTCCGCTTGGGGTCATTTGTGATCTTGTTCAATAAATCACATCTCAATAGATGAAGACCATGGTGTGTAAGTATTATTACCTTCCAACTTCATAGTAATAGTAACAAGCGAACTTGAAATAGAGGAAAATACTGATCTAATATCACCTGAAGATTAATTTTTTCTAGAGACTTCAATTAGAGATTAAACTTTCTCTGGCATTTTTTCTCGGATTTGGGTGCGGGTGCATAATACGGTGACGATATAGAGGTTGGATCCTTCATGATCTAATTTGTAAGATTAAGGGATATGGATTCATGTATGGATACTGGTGCAAGTATTCACCTAAAAATAAAATATCTAAAAATAAAATTATAAAACCTAAATTATGACATATTTTGTGGAAAACTTGACAAGATTCCTGTAAAGAGATTAAAGAAAAAAGAATGACCTAGAAATTCTATGTAAAAAGTATTTCATTTTCTTCAATTTCATTTTATATATTGATTATAGAAATTATTAAAATTGTCCAGACTTTTGGTTGACCAAATTGGACACTGATATTACACCCACACCCATGTCATGTCGACACAAGTGTGATTACAACAGTGAAGAGTCTAAGAAAACAAGTGTGATTACAACAATGAAGAGTCTAAGCAACTTAGCAAACAATGTCTGGTGAAAAGAACTAGAAACAGAAAAACAGAAGAAAGAACGTTCCTCTTCATGACTTGATATGTGGTTGAGACCTTTCCAGATCTGAACTGAACCTGAAGTTCGCTGAAAAAAGAAGAAGGAAGAAATAGCCTATGAAGTGATTGTTTTTACTGAAAATTATTTTGATTGCCAAAGATTATGGGACGTGTGATGGGTAGACTAGAATGAATGAATGATCTTCTCAAACTTGAAATGGAAGTTAGAGATGGCCGGAAAAATCTGCTGAAGTGGCTTATAGTAAAAGAAGATATCATAATAGCCATCGAAAGATCTATCAAGATGGTCATCGGAAAGGCAACTTCAGTCTCTACAAAACAGAGGCTTTGATACCATGATAATGATGCAAGTGTATTTCACTTCTAGCAGAGGTAGGAATTCTTTCAATGGGGTTAAAAAAAGATGTTGTTGCCTGGAATCGAAGCCGTCACCCAAAGCTCACATAGGCAAAATACTAAACCCTATCAATCGTTGAGCTACTCCTTTGACATATGCTTAGGGGGTTCAATTTTACATATATACATGTACACAAAAAATTGATCTTATGTATATATACATTGTAATTTTTTTCGAGGGGGGTCGGATGAAACCCTGGACACACTATACATCCGCCCCTACTAGATATATGCAAATAGATAGACATAAAATGTCAAGAGTATATCCCTAAGATCATGACTTTTACTTACAATATTTGACCATTATCTTATATACCATCTAATTAAAATTGAACTACTCTTTGACAATATCTTATCACTATTAAACTAATAGGTATGTGTTCTCTTTACTTCTTTGTCTCGCTGCTCGGAACATTTTCCAAATTGACATGTCTAATAAAAATGGTGTATTACCTTCGTCAAGTCTTTTTTGATCATATTCTAGCATATTTTGTAAAATTTAGTGTGAAATCTTCTAGACCTAATATTTCCATCACTTATGTACTGCGGAATGACTCTTAAAACTATCTTCCTCAAATTTCCTTTGCAACACTCATTACATCTAGAAAGTTGATGAGCAAAACTGCCTATGACTTATATTTTTCTGGAATTGAGTATAAATTTTCAAAAATCTTTAGAATTCACCATGGAACAATTTGTTTGTCTTATACTATGTAACATCCCAAATAATTTTTGAGCTACGACTCGAACCACCCTTTGTTGTGAGTAGAATTTTATTGAGGAATTTAAAATTTTTCCTAAATGTTAAGGTCACTAGATGTAGCACCTTGAGTTACAAAAAGAACTAGAGAGATTCTTTCAAGTCATTCCTAGGTTCCTTGAAGTTTTGAGTCAACTTAAACGAGTATAACTTTAGGTACATGATGAGTTAGGTGACCCATAAGATATGAAATGAAATTTCTTTAGATTATCTTTCCAACACCAGTTAGTTTTCTAAGTCTCAAATTTGGATAAGTGAAATATGTCCTTTTGAAGTCAGTTTGTCGATTTAAGAAAAGTTAACCAAAACTATGAGGGGTACTTTAGTCTTTTACTTACCTCTTTAACTTAAACGGTTTTAGTAATAATTTAGGGTTCTAAAATTATCAGAGTCAGTTTTATTCATCCTCAATACGCTTAGAGTTATAGAAGATAAAAGAGGAAAGGTTAAAGGCGTTTTTCTGAGATTCTTGAGTTTTGTTGCGAATTTTCGCCAAGGGTTTGATCCCTAAGAGCTATGTAAGTTTTCTTAGTTTTGGAATCGTTCATTACACGCCAATCATGAGCTTCATTTATTGATTTCATCCATTCGTTTAGGGTATATTGAGTTCGATCTTGATGAGTTCTTGATAAGTGTTCTTGAAGTTTCATTATAAATCTTGATTGTTTGGGGTTTTAATGAATTATTGAAATGAAAGTTAGTGATTTGAGGGTTTTTTTGAGTAGATTATTTTATACTTAGATAGGGTATTCGAATCTGAGTGAGTGGGGGAAAAACCACTTGAATATAGGCGAACTAGGGGTCAGAAAATGAGCAAACAAATTCGTTGGGATTTTCTGGGCAAGGGCTGGCGCGCTTCCCCACCATTGCGCCAACAAACGTTATCTGTAGTTCAAGGACTAGCACCCTGCACTACTTAGTGTGCCAGCGTCTCCTGCCCCCACCCCTTCTCTGTCATTTGACCCGTCTAAGTTATTTCGAAGGGTACATTTACTCTCTTCTATTCTAACTACTATAAACTACTTCTAAATACCTAATCATTCATAAAATGAATTATAACCTTGAATCCATAATTCAAATTCAAGATAGAGTTAAAAGTTAAGTCGTGAGAATTTTTTCAAACATTTTGAGAAAGTCCCTTTGAGTCGAGTAAGTGAGTATGAGAATTTTAGAGAATGTATTCACGAGTCTACGTTATCATCGAGATCCTTCGTATCATGAATCAAAACTCTTGAATTCATAATTCAAATTCAAGAAATAGTTAAGAGTAGACAAGAAATATTTTGAGATCAACTATGGATTTTGAGCTAACTTTGAGGAGGTAAGTATGAGGATGAGAAGAGTCTTATACATGAGCTCTGTATTGTTATTTAGAACCTTGAATCTAGTCGTTCATGCCCATAGATTCCGCATGAACTCCATATTTTTAGTATCTTTGAGAGTGTATCTTCAAGTTGTAAGTCTTGAGTATTGAGTTCTCAATTCTTTTGAAATTATATTCCTAATTTAAGGGACTATCATATGTTATACATGAAGTTCCTTGAGTTGAGATGTTCATTCCCATAATTCTGCATGAATTCTTTGAGTCGAATATTCTTGAGATGTGTAGTATCAGTTAGTCCTTGAATCGAGATTTTTCATGCCCATATTTTTGCATGAACCGTATGAGTTTAAACATACTTGAGATGATCAGTAGTATCAGTTAATCCTTGAGTTGATATTTTTCATGTCTATAATTTCACATGAACCCTCGAAGTCGAACATTTCGAGATGAGTAGTATTATTGAGTTCTTGAGTTCTGGAGTTGTTGGATTCTGAGTATTGAGTTCTACGTATGGTTATTAAAAACCTTGAATTGAGTCGTTCACGTCCATAATTCGACATGAAACCTATTTTGAGAAGTCTTTTACTATTATTTATAACTTGTTTTTAAGAGTTGAGCATTTGAGTTTAAGAAAGAGTAGAGTTGAGTTCATTTTCTTTAAATTGATATATGAGAACTAAGTATTCCCAAGAATAAATGTTTTTACATTTAAGATGAGAGGAAACACTGATTTCTAAAAGATTTCTTGGGTAGTTTTGAGCACTATCTCTTTTTAGAGAAATATTTTGAGTAATAATCTCCAAAGAAAGAGTTATGTTTTTAGACGTATGGAATAAGTTATATTTTGCGAGTATTATTGAGCACAAATATGGATAAGTTCTAACAATTCACAACCCCCATAAACTAGTGGATCCACTAAGTTATTAGTATGTTCCACACCCTGGCAAAATATAGGAAAGTTCTGGCAGCGTGTCCTAGACGTTGTATCATCACATAACTCATAGTGATGGTTGTCGGTTAGACAATCTCCCACAAAGTTATATTATATTTTTATATACAAACTGAGTTATTATTGTATTATTCAATAAACTGATTTGATATCTACCGTTTTAAAAGCATTCCACATATATATTGCATCTTTTATTGTTGTTTTATCTTGAGTTGAGTATCCAGAATTGAGTATATTATTGTTGAGTTGAGCCTTATTTCTCTGAATTAAATTGAACTATGTTTCACTGAGTTGAGTTAAGTTGAACTATGTTTCACTGAGTTGAGTATCTTATTCTTGAGACTTCTGAGTTGATTAAGTCTGATTACCTTTGAGTATCCTTAATTTGTGTTGAGAAAAGGTAAGTATGTTTATTTTCCATCAGCTCAAGCTTATGTTCATGTTTTAGAATTCCCCTACATGCTCATGCATTCCATGTTCTGACGCCATTTGGCTTGCATTATTTCATAATGCAGTTGTAGGTAGCTAGGGTCATCAACAAGAGCTTCGTTGATACCACTTGCAATTCCACTCAACTTTGGTGAGCCTTCTTATATTCTGGATGACTTCACCTTTGTATTACAGTTAGTAGTTTTGAGATGTCGTGGGTCTTACCCCGATAACCTTCTATAATAATAGAGGTTTCATTGATAGAGAGTAGAGTTTGAAAAGTCTGTTATATTTATCTTGTTAAATGTTTTAAAGACTTGAGTTGTT